TAGTCCTGTTCTTAAAAGCAAGATGCAAATAAGGGTGTTTTTTAAAAAGCGCCACCCTTTCTTGAAGCACTAACCTTTAGCTCACTGTGTTAACGTTCGATCAGCTGGAAACCGAGACCTGATCTTGCAGTTCCCTAGGCAAGCAAGTAATCCTGCGTGAGCTGCCCCATTGAAGCCTAAGAAACGGCTGCGTGAGTGAAGGTTTTCCGGATTGGGCCCCAGCTTGGTCCATTCCTTCGCTGTAAATCAGAGGAAAAGCCTTTGATTTATCACCCTAAATATACATCTAAAGAGTTCGTGAAAATATCGCACTGCCGATTGCTGGGGGTTGCTTTTAATTTCCAGGCTGAATCTTAGAACCCTTATTCTCCTTGAAACTATTGCCCCCTATAGCGCCGCTGTCAGAGCTTTCAAATGCAGCTGCTGCCAGATGCTTCCAATTCAACAGAAGCTAGAATAATTCAGCACTTTGTGTTCCTTTCTGATATTAACCTCCCCGGATTTTTTGGCCTCTGTATTTTGTTTTTTTGTATGTTTACTGCTGCATTAGCTCCATTATTTCTGTGCTTATAACCAAAATACCAAGGTGCTGGGAGGGGGGCAGGTGGGGAGGCCTCAGAGGCCTGCATTAAATATTGAAGGAGGGGGCGGGGAAGGGAAATTGAAAACCTCTGCAGGGAGCCTGTGCTGCGCATGTACTGCCCGCAAGAGGAGGGGGCAGCAGCTACACCTACAGGAAGGGAGGTTCTACTGCAAGCCAAGAGCTCCCAGAGGTGTTGCTTTAGCTAGCTCATGTGTTTGCTGGCATGCCAAGAGGGGAGAGCCGGGCTGCTCTGCAGCGCTGTATAAATCATGTGCTAAAGAGAATTATTTTTAGAGCCTCCACTGAAACCTGGCTCTCGGGGGCCTGTGTAAATGGCTCTGTCGTGCGCTTCAATTCTCGCAGGCGTCACCTGTGCGAAGATCTTCGTAGGGGGGGAGATTTCGGCCTGCGCCCGGCAGCGAGGGAGGCTTTTAAAATGTCTCCTTGAAACGCACGCTGCAGAACTCCTCCCGCTTTGGCAGAATGGTCAGCTCACTGCAGGTGGAGGAATGGGTGGCCCATATCTGTCTAGTTAGGTGCTTTCAGCGGGCTCATCGCTAGGGTGTCTAAGCACCGATAAAATGAAACATAGTATCTAATGATCTCCGTATCACCATGGTTTTACCCAGCTCCCTGAAGTGATCTGGCTTTTTCTCTAGAAGAGCTAGTGCTGGCCTATCTATTCCTTACTAGCATGGATGAGAGGATTGTGCAAACAAATGCATCTTGCCCTGGGCCCTGAAGGATGCAAGCTCATCCTGCTTCATGGCAGGGTGGGGTCCTGGCTCTGTTCCCTTCACAGACGGAGACTAACTGCAGAAACCTTAAAAAGGCAGGCTCCCCTTAAAGCGCATTCACCGCTGGAAGAGGGACAGGTGGCAGGAGCTGCAGAGGGGAAGGCTCTCACAACAACGGTGAAATGGCATGAAGGCACAGAGAGGAGGTTGTTGCTAGATGAAAGGAGGAGCTGAGAGAGGGGTAGAGCGAGGCCAAACCAGTGAAGTCGGCTGGATCAAATCAGGATCCCAAAGTGCACAGGGGAGTGGAGTGCTTTGAGGGTGGGGCAGTATAGTCTGGCACTGAGCTGGGCCCACCTGCTTGGCTCAGGCTGGATGGTAGTTTTTTTGCAAGCCCAGTTGTATCAGGGGATGGTCTAGGGATTCACACCCTCCAGGTGAGAAATTCACTCCTCATCCAGAACCTTTCAGAAGTTGCATCTTGCTCAGTATTTAACCATTCTGCAATTAGCTTACTCTGGATGGTTTGTTTCCTGTTGAAAATGCATCTAAAAATCCAAGTATGACTCAGAAAATACACCCTTATGACCCCTAAGGCCTGGTCTATACTTAAAAGTTAGGTACTCAGGAATGTGAAAAATTAAAACAACCTAACCCCAAGTGTAGACATGGCTAGGCTGATAGTAGCGTCATCTACACTAGGGCATGTAGACATGACCTAAATATCAGCTATCTACCCTGCTCCACCTCATGCTTTACTCTGCCCCATGAGCCGCTTCCTTCACAGGATCTCAGAGTGCTTCAAACACATCTTCAGACTCTTCTCTCACACGGATATAAGTCAGAAGTAACTTCATTGAAGGCAGCGGAGTTACAGCCGTGTTGACCTGGTGTGAGAGGAAAAACAGTCATTTTGATTGTGCAGTAGGCAAGTCGCCTTGTCCCAATTTCACGGATGGGGAAACTGAGGCAGAGATCAATTAAGTAACTTTCCCAAGGTCACGTGGCGAGTTAGTGGCAGGATAGAATCCAGGAGGCCCGACTCTCGCTTTCTCCTTCTTTAGAGGATAGATATATTCCCTCTCTTTTATTTATTTTCAATCAGGATAAACAGCATTATGGGATGAGAACTGTATTCCTCTTTTTCACAGACTTCAATAAACTGCCATAATAAAAGTTGGAGCACAACAAAGTCACTTTGTTTCATAACTGCCTTGCCAGTCAGCAGTCTCCTGCTGAATTCCTCACACCTCCTCCGTCAGCTTACTTAAGAACGATCACAGACAGCGGTTGGCAGCGCGTATGGGCGAGAAAGGGCCAAATTCACTCCTAGTGGAACTCCGGTGGCTTCAGTGGCATTATGCCATGGATTGCTTTGCCCCATTGAGTCTGTCTGGGGGTGTGCTTTCTCCCTGTGATATGAGGCGCTATCAGCTGTTGCAGTTGCTACGGTAACTGTTTGCATTTTTAGCACAAACCCTGGATTTTGCCAGAATTTAAGTTGGCCACTATTGGCCTGATTAACACACTGGCCTGTCAGGGAAATTGTCTAATTGTCTTCAGTGAATATTTGTAGCTGTTGTCAATGTGCGAAAGTCTCTTGGAAATTTCTTTCTTCCCCAGCAGCACTGATTACATGCACTCCCTTTGCATGTTTGGGTGCTTATTCTCCTGTGTCTACACTGCAACTGGGAGGTGTAATTCCCAGGTAGATGCAGGCCTGGTCTACGCTAAAAAGTTAGTTTGACCCAGCTACATTGCTCAGAGGCATGAAAAATCGACACCCCTGATTAAGCTGACCTCCCCCGCCCCACGAAGACAGCCCAAGGTCGAGGGAAGAATTCCTATGTTGATGGGAGAGCAGCACTAGCCGTCTGATCCTAGGTGCACACGCAGGCCCCTAGTTTTGAAGTCAATGGCAATTTTGTTTGCACGAGGACTGAAGAATTGGGCTTTTATAGGCAAATCCCGTCCCCGTGGCCCTTCTCCCTGGAAGTGCATTCCGACCATGCACCGAGCCAGGCTGCCTGGAACCTGTACATAAGGTATATAACCCCTGCGTGCCACAGAGCTCAGTTCCACAGGGTCTCCTTGTGCAGCGCTTCTGGGTAGACCTGCCCTGACTCCAGAAGCGATTAGCATTAAATGCAATCTACTAGATTTAGACCCCAAATGTAGAGGTGGAACAAAAGTGGCAGAGCGCAGAAGCCCTAAAGGGAACAGAAATATTTCCAGGGTGTTTGCAAGCCAGACTTTGCAGCCTGATGCTAATGCGTAAGAGGCGGAAAATGAAAAGGATTAGAGAGGAGTAGGCACTTATCACTCTGTCATCAGTTTCCCATCCACGAAAGGCTCTCGGGGCCAGCTTCTCAAGTACTCAGCAGGACCCAACCTGCGTTTGAAAAATCTGGCCACTTCTTTTGGTGTGTAAATGGGAGCTGAGCTCCTTTGAAAATCTCTCTGATGTAAACAGGGAAGGTAAATGGTGAAGCGTTAATGAGAGGTTTAAAATGCTTTGTGTTTCCATAATATAAGGCAGGGATCGGCAACCTTTCAGAAGTGGTGTATCGAATTTTCATTTATTCACTGTACTTTAAGGTTTCCTGTGCCAGTAATACATTTTAACGTTTTTAGAAGGTCTCTTTCTATAAGTCTATAATATATAACTAAACTATTGTTATATGTAAAGTAAATAAGGTTTTTAAAATGTTTAAGAAGCTTCATTTAAAATTAAATTAAAATGCAGAGCCCCCTGGACTGGTGGCCAGGACCCGGGCAGTGTGAGTGCCACTGAAAATTAGCTTGCGTGCCACCTTCGGCACGCGTGCCATAGGTTGCCTACTCCTGATATAAGGCAATAGTTGTCGTACTGCTAAACAATAATAGAATACCATTTATTTAAATAGTTTGGGATATTTTCTACATATTCAAATATATTGATTTCAACTACAACACGGAATACAAAGTGTACAGTGCTCACTTTATATTATTATTTTTTATTACAAATATTTGCACTGTAAAAAAAACAGTATTTTTCAATTCATCTAATACAAGTACTGTCTTGCAATCTCTTTATCATGAAAGTTGAAATTACAAATGTAGAATTATGTACAAATAAATAACTGCACCCAAAAATAAAACAATGTAAAACTTTGGAGCCTACAAGTCCACTCAGTCCTACTTCTTGTTCAGCCAATTGCTCAAACAAGTTTGTTTACATTTACACAAGATAATGCTGCCTGCTTCTTGTTTACAATGTTACCTGCAAGTAAGAACAGGCATTCGCATGGCACTGTTGTAGCAGGCATCACAAGATATTTATGTTCCAGATGCACTAAAGATTCATATGTCCCTTCATGCTTTAACCACCATTCCAGAAGACATGCGTCCATGCTGATGACGGGTTCTGCTCGATAACGATCCAAAGCAGTGCGGACCGATGCACGTTCATTTTCATTATCTAAGTCAGATGCCACCAGCAGAAGGTTGATTTTCTTTTTTTGTGGTTTAGGTTCTGTAGCTTCCGCATCAGAGTGTTGCTCTTTTAACTCTTCTGAAAGCATGTTCCACACCTCCTCCCTCTCAGATTTTGGAAGGCACTTCAGATTCTTAAACCTTGGGTTGAGTGCTGTAGCTATCTTTAGGAATCTCACATTGGTACCTTCTTTGTGTTTTGTCAGATCTGCAGTGAAAGTGTTCTTAAAATGAACAACGTGTGATGGGTCATCATCCGAGACTGCTATAACATGAAATATATGTCAGAATGTGGGTAAAACAGAGCAGGAGACATGCAATTCTCCACCAAGGAGTTTAGTCACAAATTTAATTAACACTTTTTTTTAAACGAGCATCATCAGCATGGAAGCATGTCATCTGGAATGTTGGCCAAAGCATGAAGGGGTATACGAATGTTTAGCATATCTATCATGTAAATACCTTGCAATGCCGGCTACAAAGTGCCATGCGAATACCTGTTCTCACTTTCAGGTGACATTGTAAATAAGAAGCAGGCAGCATTATCTCCCACAAATGTAAACAAACTTGCTTGTCTGAGTGATTGGCTGAACAAGAAGTAGGACTGAGTGGACTTATAGGCTCTAAAGTTTTACATTATTTTGTTTTGAGTGCAGTTATATAACAAACAAACAAAATCTACATTTGTAAGTTGCACTTTCACGATAAAGAGATTGCACTTCAGTACATGAATAAGGTGAACTAAAAAATCCTATTTCTTTTGTTTATCATTTTTACAGTGGAAATATTTGAAATCAAAAATAATAATATGAAGTGAGCACTGTAAAATTTGTATTCGGTGTTGTAATTTAAATCAACATATTTGAAAATGTAGAAAAACATCCACAAATACTAAATAAATTTCAATTGGGATTCTATTCTTGTTTAACAATGTGATTAAAAGTGTGATTAATCACGATTCATCTTTTTGAGTTAATGGCGTGATTTAACTGCGATTAATCAACAGCCCTAATCTATCTATATGTTTTTTTGAGCACCCCCTTCACCCTAAATGCCTCAGGCGTTACAGAGCCAGGACCACGCTCACAGACAGCTAAGGGAGTTACCAACACCGAAACGTTTGGAAAGGGGCTTCCTTTTGCCCAGGTCTCTCAACCAAATCAACAAAGGAGTGGCTTTACACAGCTCACGTGCTCAGATAGGTTCATGAAGCAGCCCGGCAAAGAACTGACGCCTTAGGGCACGTCTACACTGCAAATTAAGGTGGGATTACAGCATAGGGAGGCATAACTACACTAGCTTTAATTCACGTAAAAAGCAACAGAGGGTCCTGTGGCACCTTTAAGACTAACAGAAGTATTGGGAGCATAAGCTTTCGTGGGTAAGAACCTCACTTCTTCAGATGCAAGTCATCGGCTACCCCCTGATAGCTTTAATTCAACGCATGCAGGTAAGAATAGTAGTGACGACAAGGCAGCGGAGTTCCATATGGGCTCTAGCCACCTCTGTGCGGCCCACTGGGGACTCTGGGTATGTACGTGGGTTGTGCTAGCCCGTCCGAGGGTCCATGCCACCACATCTTTGTCACTAGTGGTAGCTGCGCTGGCTAAATTCAAGCTGGCGCGGGTGTGCCTACCTGCACTACAGTTACACTGGAATTTGTGGTGTAGACGTACCCCTAGTGCAGGCTGAGCCCAGAGTCCTCCAAACGCATCTGTCTTGTAGTGTCCAGAAGGATGACCGTTCTCTACAACTGGGGCTAGCCCTGCCCCCCTGGATCCCCAACAATCCCTGAGCGCCAAGGGATTTTCCTGGGGGAGTGGCTCCCTGCAGCTGTGGTCCTTTGGGGAGAAAAAGCGAGTGAGAGTTAACCTCCTTCCTGCTGTTTGCGAAGCAGGGTGTATACACCCCGTCACAGTGCTAGAAAATCCCTTTCCTGGTAACTACAGGCTTCTTCACCCTCTCCACAGAGCAGATCTAATGGTCAAAGTGCTTTCAATGGTGCTAGCAGCCAGAGGGCCCCTGTTACGCTGCCACCAATGGAGCTGAGCTGGAGCACAGACATGCTTAAGCTTTTGGTTAACTTTATACACTGTTAGTAAACCCACTGCAGGACTCCTCACATGTTAACCATATGCATGAAGACTTTGCGGAATCAGGCCCTATGACTATAACCTGATTTTCAAAAGATTTCAGTGGGAGCTGCTGGGCGCTCGGCACTTTTGACAACCGGGTCACTTATTGAGGTGTCTAAATATGGACCTAGAAGTCTAACTTTAGGCACCTATTTTTGAAAATCTTGGCCAAGGAGCACTACCCTGTTTCCCCGAAAATAAGACATCCTCCGAAAATAAGGCCTACTTACAGTTTTGCCTCTCGTTGTAATATAAGGCATCCCCCCGATAATAAGACCTCCCCGATAATAAGGCATCCACCGATAATAAGGCATTTTTCATTTCTGAAAAATAAGACATCCCCTGAAAATAAGACCTAGCGCATCTTTGGGAGCAAAAATTAATATAAGACACTGTCTTATTTTCGGGGAAACAGGGTAGCGTCTTTTGTCTAGTTTGCATGGTTGCCAACGCTTGCAACGTTATGACCAGGTCTCATGACATTTGGTGATTTTCTTAAAGCCCCAGCTCCTGGAAGCAAGTGATTCCATGAATATCTCAGGGTATGTCTACACTGGAAACACTACAGCAGCAGAGCTTCCACGCTGCAGCTGTGCTGCAGTGTAGACAGACCCTACAGCTACAGAAGGGGTTCTTCCATTGAGGTAGTGAATCCACCTCTCCAAGAGGTGATAGTTAGGCTGATAGAAGAAATCCTAGCAGTGTCTACACCAGGTCTTAGGTCGGCAGAAGGGAAGGCTGTTTGTTTTTAAAAAAAAAAGGCCAGAAAGAACATTTCATAGGCACTCAAAAGGGATTTCTTAATCTGGCAACATATAATCCAGTTCTGCAGTAAACTTTAGCCTGATCGATACATTAAAACATAGCTAGGCCGACGGAAGAATGGTTCCATCAACCTAGCAACCATTGCTCAAGGAGGTGGATTACCTACCTCGACAGAAAAACACCTTCTGTCACTCCAGTCTGCGTTTACACTACAGGGCTACAGCGGCCTAGCTATGCGCCGGTAGCTGTGTCTCTGTAGTGCCTGTAGGTGTAGACATGGCCTTTCTCCAGCCAAACAGGATTAACAAATGTGGGCATCGCCAAGCCCCAGCCTTGTCACAGCAATGAGGTATGGCCTCTATTCCCCACCACCCCAACCTCCCTAATGAAATAGGAGATTTACTCCTCACTGCCCCATTCCTCAGAACGGCATGACTCTTCTTCACTGGGGGTGAGGTGGGTTCCAGCTCATGGAACGTGCTTGGGGACTCAGGCCTTGGGACCTAAATAGAATTAGCAGTCATGGTTTTTCCACACCCTGAACTCCCTAAAACTATTTCCTCCCCCGGAGTGACCTTGTCTTTGGTTTCACAAGCATTGTTCCATCCTGTAACAGGGTAGCACTGGCCTGGGGGGGTCCTTACAAAGTACATTCCATTATAGGCTGTCGCACCTAAAGTGGGTGTATCATTATTGCTATACTATAACATAGCCCCTAACCGTGAGTTGGATCAAACCCCTCTGATCCATGTGCAAAAGAGACGCTCCGTGTCTTCCCTATAGGAGACGGGATATCAGATACCTCTGCAGCACTTTCCCTTCCCTCCATCAGACCCTGCGGAACCCACGCCACAAGTCTGGGGTCCAGGCAGTGGTAGGAGCCAGAGGATACTGGATGGGAAGGTGTGGTGAAGTGGGTGAGCCTGCCTGGAAGTTCCTCATCTTCCCACCAGCCCCGTTGAGTAAGGCAGCTCCAGGACTGTACTAGTCTAGCCAAGTCTGATTCCACAGGCAGGCTGATTCCTTAGTACAGGGGTTCTCAAACCAGGGCTCGTGAGGTTATTACATGGAGGGTCATGAGCTGTCAGCCTCCACCCCAAACCCCGCTTTGCCTCTAGCATTTATAATGGTGTTAAATATATAAAAATATGTTTTTAATTCATAAGGGGGGGTTGTCGCATGCAGAGGCTTGCTATGTGAAAGAGGTCACCAGTACAAAAGTTTGAGAACCGCTGCCTTAGTAGCATGGCTTCCAAGGAGCTACTCTACCATGGAACTGGCATTGAGAACATGCAAGAGCTCCTTGAGGAGGACTCTGGCCTCCCTAGGAATTTGCCATGTTTGAGGGATTAGCCCCCACAGCCTTTTCAATGGGAAGGGGCAAACCCCAACCCCTGATAGGAGCAGGGCTGCCCAGAGGGGGGGCAATTTGCCCCAGGCCCCTCAGGGGCCCCCACAAGACTTTTCAGCGGGTCTTCCGTGGCAGGTCCTTCAGTGCCGCCGAACACACCGGGAGCGAAGACCCGGAGCTTCTTCTGCTCCGAGTCTTTGGCGGCAGTTCGGCGGCGGGTCGTTCACTCGCTCCGGGACCCGCCGCCGAAGTGCCCCGAAGACCCGGACTGGAAGGACCCCCACCACTGAAGACCCCAGGCCCCCTGAATCCTCTGGGCAGTCCTGGATAGGAGCAGGTAAAATCTCCCTGAAGGGAGATCTGGCCCATGGTTCGAAACAATGGGCCTACTCCTGCATCCATAGGTGCTGGAACTAAGGGTGCTGGGGGGGGGGGGAGTAGCACCCCCTGGCTTAGGGTGACCAGATGTCCCGATTTTATAGGAACAGTCCTGATTTTGGGGGCTTTTTCTTATATAGGCTCCTATTACCCCCCATCCCCCGTCTCAATTTTTCACATTTGCTATCTGGTCACCCTACACTGGCTTGAAGTGGTTTCCATCATCTGCAGGGTTTGCAGTTTGGTTCAATGTCTCTCACCCCCACACTATACAAATTGTCCCAGCCCCTCCTGCCTACATCCCTTACTCACCGGAGCAGGATTCTCAGTGGAGTCCAAGGGACACCTCGCCTGGGCAACACCTAGATGTGCCCGGGGAGTCAACTGAAACTACACATTGCATTAATGACATGCCAGCGGTATTCATTAGCTCCCATCGCGGTTCTATCCCCCCCCCAAGCTGCGGTGAGTTGTCTGGCAATCAATGCACCGGACACCAGTCGCCGCGATTGATGGACGGGCTGGTGCTAATAACGCTGTCTGCATCGCCTGCCAATTAATGGCCATTGTTACACCGCTGGGTTTGCTTAATGAGTCATTAATTCAACCCCGTTACATTGCACCGCCCCCAGGCCCTGGCTCCACCCGCAGCCGGGGGGGGCCTGGCACGCGGGGGCCCCGGCCCCCCGGGGAGAGCGGTGATTGGCAGCGCCCTGTCCCCCCCCCTCCAGCCATGCCGGGCTTGGCGTGTCCCGCGGCTCTGTCGCTTTAAGAGCCCAGAGGCGGCTGGAACGGGGTCAGAGGCGGGGCGCGAGCGGCCGGCAGTGCGCTCGCGCCGGCTGGCGGAAGGGGGCGGAGCGCGAGGTGATTGGTTCCCCGCTCCTCCCTCGCGCCGCCCCACCTTGATGGTCACGTGACTCGGCGGCGGCTCCCGGCGCGCCGGTGGACGCTGGAAGCCAAGATGGCGGCGGAGCTGGTGGAGGCGAAAGTGAGTGAGCGGCCTCCCCCCGGCGGGGGGCGCGAGGGGTGGGGCCGCGGCGGGGGCACGGGGTTGGGGGCGGCAGCGCCACGGCCGCGGGCGGCGCCCCCGTTCCCCCCGGGCCGCGAGGAACCTCCCTGCGGGAGCCGCCCCCGGCCCCTGCCTCCTCCGCCGGCCCCCTGTGGGGACCTGCTCGCCGCTCCCCCGCCGGGGCCCTCGCCTGGGCCGCGACCAGCCCCGCCTCTGCCGGTCTGAGCCCTCCCTCGCCTCCCCATCCCTCGGCGTCAGCGCCGTCCCGATCCCCTCCCGTCAGCCCCGTCCCGTCCCGATCATCTTCCCTCCCCCCGCCGTCCAGATCCCGGAGACACGCCTCCCCTCCCCGCATCGCAGTCCCATTCCTGGCCCTGGAGACACCCCCCCCCCCATCTCCTGGTGACAGTGCCTCCCCCCCCCTTCCCCAATAACTTCCCCAGAGCCGTCTCCTTAATCCCCCTCCCTGGCCTCAGTGCCATCCTGCCATTTTATAACTGACCCCGGAGACCCCAGTGTCAGCCCCTTCCCGACCCTGAGACCCTCTCCCATCCCACCTCTGTCAGCGCCTTCCTGCCCCTCACGGCCCCAGAGAGCCCCCATCCCTCTGGTGTCACCACCTTCCCTTCCAGTCTGGAGACCTCTTCTCTCTTCCCCCCTCCCCCCCCCCGTCCCACCAGTATCAGTGCCTTCCTGCCCCTGCCAACTCCAGAGACCACTTCGCTCAGCCCCTTCTCATCCCCATCCTGATTCCTGAGATTCCCTCAGGGCCTTCTCGTCACCCCCATTGACCCCTGAGATTGCCCACCACCCATGCTTCCCCTACTTTCGCTCCTTGCGACTGATGCTTAAGATTCCCCAGTTATTGCGGTCTCAGCCTCTTCTCACCCCAACACTGAACCTGAAACTCCCCAGCTTACTCCCCCATTTCAGCACATCATCTTTTACAGCTGTCCTGAAAAAATCATTACAACAGGCATGCTGCTCCCTGCACACCTTGGCTTCCCTCCCCACCCGCTGCTTCATCTTCTCTCACTATTGCCTCCCCCATGTAGTCATTGCCTCAGGTCCCTCCTGCAGTTCTCCCATCCTCACTTCTACTCTTCTCATTTTCCCCTTCCTCTGTGACTCCCTCATGCTGCCCCCTTTCCTGTTCCAATCTCAGCTCATTGGGCTTCTGAGTGAAGAGTATGCAAGTGCAGTTGAGGGTGTGAGTGTGAAGTGATGACATGCAGGTTTCCTCCACTGACATTTTAGGAAATAGTTTTGGAGTGAGGGGTGAGTGAACTGTCCAAATGTCTCCTGTGGGTCAGATTGTTTGCAAACTTTACCCCCCCTCCCCTCCCATGGAGGCATAAATGGCTTATTTTATGATCTAAATTGAAGGTATGGAGAGGCTTTCAGAAAAGTGAATATGGAGGTGGATAATGAATGGCATCCAATGCTTTAAATGTTCTGGAGAAAATCTTGATGTCTATAAATCTGCATAGACTAGAGGATTCTGTGATGTCTGATGTATTTGGAGGTTGTTTAGTGACATGCCATTTTTTTAAAATATGTGAAGTTGTATTATACTTACGAAACATCTTGTGCATAATGAGCCCCTTTGGGGAGGGGAAGACATGCAGCACCGATTCCAAGCCTCTCTTTTTATTGAGTCCAGTTCTGCTATGTGATACTGCTCTCTGCATGAGTGGGGCTCTTCAGTTCCTGCCTGCCAATGAGTGGAATCACAGGTGTACTGTCTGTGAAGCAGAACTGTAATCTCTCAGTGCACACAACAGGGCTTTCATGGTAAAGTTCCCATTCTTGCCAGATGCTGAACACCTCTGAGTGACTTCAGTGATGGTTGACGAGGCTCAGCATCTGGCAGGATTAGGCATTAAGTAATGGAATGACAGGGCAGACCCAGTGAATGCTGTGAATCCTAGAACTGGCTGATGTAGGGCAGAAGTAAAATGTAGAGAACCCTGTTTTTAAATGTAGGCAAAACAATAGCTGACCCCTTCTCCCTGTGTCAGGCCTTCCTCGTTGATTATTGTGGGCAGAAGCCCACCACTCTTCTGAAAGGAAGCATCTTGAAGACTTGCCTGGCTGTAGTGAGAATTCATTATCTTCCATGCTCCTTGAACACACAATTTCCTGTCTTTTGTTGCTGCCCAAAGCCTACACCTATATTCATTTTAAAATGAATAATCTCACTGGCTAATGAGAACTGCATATTCATACCATTCACTCTGAGTTAGAGGCGTGAGGTTCTAGACCTATATTTCTCTGTGCCAAAATAGCCTGTTTTGCTTTTTATTGTTCAAATCTGATAACATCTCTAGACCTGAAATCTGGGTAAATGTAAACTGCAAAAAGCAATTGAGTTAAGCGCTGGTTTATATGCCTAATACACCAAGAGAACAGGAAATTAGGAACAATGAGTACAGGGATAACTCCCTTGTCTAGGGTGCTTATGCAGCCGCCTTTGCTGTAGTATCTAGGCACCATGTGATCAGTAATGTAATTAGCCTCACAATGCCCCTGTGGGGTATGGACAAGTTCTATTCCCCCCCATTTTACAAATGGATAAGTGATGCACAGAGACTGAATGACTTGCTCAGGGTCACACCAGGAGCATGTGGTGGAGTAGGGAATTGAATCTGGGTCTCCTAAATCCTAGATTAGTTCCCTGACCACTGAACATTTTTCCTTGGTTTGTCAAAGCTCTATTCTCACCTACCCCCACCCCTCTTTCTTCTTTTTCTCACCTACCCCGCCCCCCTTTCTTCTTTTTCTCACTGAAGAGATTCCAGAACACATCACACTACTAATTTTCCTTGCACCCAGATGCATTTGGGATGCATTCTAGGATAGCTTCAGTGAAATAAGAAGTCCTGTGGGATTTCACAGGAAAGGGGAAGAATAAAATGTAAGAGGTTAATTCTTTCTGTGGCCTGGTCTACACTTAAAATTTAGGTTGACATATCTGTGGCACTCAGGTGAAAAATCAACACCCATGAACGCCATACTTATGCCCACCTAACCTCCAGTGTAGACACAGCTAAGTCAAGGGAAAAATGCTTCCATCAACCTAGCTACCATCGGTCGGGAATGTTGTGTTCCTGCAGTGGCCAAAAAACCCCTTCTGTCGCTGTAGGCTGTGTCTACATTACAGGGTTATGTTGGCAGAGGTAGAGTGCCATAGCTATGCTGCTATAGTCCCCATAGTGTAGATGTGACCTGTGCTTAATTTCACACCCCACAAATACTGTTAATGAAGATGTCTGGATTTAAATCAGTTGCCATTTTCCTTTAAAAGTTGGCTTGTCAATTTTTTTCAATGAACAGTAAGAACATTATTTTCAACCTATTTTGGTAAATTAATCTGATTTCTGTATGTCTTTTCCGTATCATCAGAAAATAAATATGGAAAACACCTAGTGGGTGTTGATTCCATCCCCTGCAGCTGGACATGTAGGAGTGTTTTTCTGGAAAATTTCGCCTGAGTTTTTCACAAACCAGTGAGCAAGCTGCAAGAATAAATGCAAATGTTCAAATGTATTTTCAGGGCTCGAAAAACACTTTCTTCACCCTGGGTGTATGTGAAGGTTTTTTTTTTTTTTTTGGCAATGAGGAAGGGCCTTAACAATCAATCTCTGCAGAATGTGAGCATTAATTTTAATTAATATTTTCTCGCTCTTATCCTTATGAAGACAATCCTCCAAGCATAGATCAATCCTGTGTTGTCTTTGAGTCTACAGACCACTCCAGTTCCTTTTGAGCTTCCCCAGGCAGAAGAGAGTGAAGTTGACAAGACTGGTCAGTTTCAGTGTTGTTCAAAACCTTAGGATCAGCCTTGAAATTGGTAGTTTCATGGTGCTCCCTTTGAGCAGTAACAGAAGCAGGCACTGGTCCTATTCATAGGAGAGCTGATTGAAGGAAGTGAGGTGTGGGCTGAAGTAGTTAATAACCCCGAATACACTTGCTTTTCCAGCAACCCGATGCAAGATATTTAGTGTCCTTGTGATTGGCACTGTTTTCAGTTGTTACCATGAGATTACTTTGTATTTATCACAGATTTTTTTATAGCCATTCAGTAACTAGCTTGTGTCACTGCTTTCGTATCTATGTATACTGAATGATGTTCAGTAGGTCTACTATGTATTCCCATTGCACAAACAAGTGTCTAATGCATGGCACATTAATCAGTTGAAAACCAGGTGAGCTAAACAGAAGGCTTGGTGTCACTCTTGCAAATGAATTTTAATCTTTTGAGTTCCAGGGTACAGGCTTTGGAGAGAATTGTCACTTGATCTATTTATAGTTCCAAGAATCTTTTACTTTAATTTTTTACCTTTATTTCCTAGAACATGGTGATGAGTTTCAGAGTCTCAGATCTTCAGATGTTACTGGGTTTTGTTGGCCGGAGTAAGAGTGGACTTAAACACGAGCTGGTCACTAGAGCGTTGCAGCTGGTCCAGTTTGATTGTAGCCCTGAAGTTTTCAAGAAAATTAAAGAGCTCTATGAGACTCGCTATGCCAAGAAGAGCTCTGAACCGGGGCAGCCACAGCAGCACCGACCTCCAGAGGCACTCTCCATACATTCTTCCTATGACCGTGGGAGCACTGTTGCTAGGACTTCTCTTTCCACGCCTAACATTGACTATCCTGCACTCTATGGGAAATACCTTAACGGACTGGGGAGGTTACCACCCAAAGTTGTAAAGCCTGAAGTTCGGCTGGTGAAACTTCCCTTCTATACCACCTTGGATGAACTGCTGAAGCCAAC